AAGAATTAAGTTTATGAGAAAGAATGCGTAGAAACCCTGTTACTCATTGGTGTCCTAAGTTAAATAAAAACATCTTAGTAAGATATTGGGACAAAAACATATGATGCACAACTTTCCCTCCTAAAGATAAAGATTATAGATGGAATTTTAAATGCACCTGGTTTCTGAGGGATGGTGCTGTGCACTTTGACACTTTACATTGGGTCACAGAGCCGTTATATTAAGTACACGCATGATAAAGCTGTTCAAATATCCTTTATTCCTTTTCCAAATGAACAATGGGTTCTTGCCTATAGAAATATGAGAATCATTAAATCAAAGTTAAAACATTTATAAAGTTTGTTTAACACTTTGTAACCGTGATCACTGCCGTCTCAATTTTGAGTCAGACATATAATTTATGCTTGCTGGTAGTAATAAGTTTAAGGTTAATACGAGGGCAAGAAGAAAAGAAACACAATGGTGAAAAACATCAAGAACAGCGAGTCACGGACTAATCGACCACAACAGATATAATCACTAGAAAGGAAATTATTAATTTTATGAGAACTGATGTAATTTTAAGAAAAGTTTCCGTTTAACTATTGGTATAATAATTATAAAGGTTTATGTAGTTAAAATGCCCACATTAACTGCCCCCCGTGTTGTGTAACAAATAAAAATGCTGTTTTCAGTCTGAAGGCTGCTTCAGCTGCTTTAGCTGCTTTAGCTGCAACAGCACTGACAGCCCGCAGAGCGAGAACGTGCTTCAAAGGAACCGAGGTCTCTGCCTGTGTTTGTTATTTTCACCGACTCCTCACCCCTTTTTCAAGGGCCCCCAACTCAACTGGAGCTGGTCTCTGGCAAATGCCCTCTTTAGGGGTCAGAGGTTAATCATCTATGCCCAGTTGACTGGGATGATGCTGGTGAGTTCCGATTCTTGTTTGTTCCTCTAGTCAGAATATTGTAATAGTAGTAGTTTAGCCCTAGGAATTTCATTATAGCTGGCAGGTGAATTTAGATCTCAGCAAGAGATTGCATGTGCCAGGTGGAGGCAGCCTACCCCTTTCCCCATCATTTCAGGTCTATGGTTTCCTGGGCTACCTGATTCCTAGTCAGAAATTGTGATATGTTGGGTTGGGGAGCTGCCTTAGTTCTGACCCTTCTCTGTATGATCTCTCCTTTCCATCACTTCTACTCTTCTCTAATTTGTAGCCAGCAGAGGCAGCAGGAGCAGTATGCCTCCAGCACACACTCCAGGGCAAGAGTTTCAAGGATAAGGTGATGTTTTCTGTAAAACCCAAGTCCGATAGCAAGTGAGTTTTCCTTTGCTATTCTCTCTCTCTCTCTCTCTTTCTCTCTCTCCCCCTCCCTCCCTCCCTCCCTCTCTTCCCTCCCTCCCTCTCTTCCCTCCCTCCCTCTCTTTCCCTCTGCCATCCTTGGGGGTTGGATTTATTCTCTTAATTCTGGGTTCAACTGTTTCTATACAGTTACTTTTTCTTTCTAATCCACCCTAGTCTTACCTCTCCCCTTACCTGACTTTTTCTTCCCTCTGCTATCCCTAACTTTTAAGAGCCCTGAGTAACTGGCATGTGGGTGTTTTACCCTAAGTCTTGGGAATTTTTTTTCTTTTAGCCTTACAATTCACCACCTTGCTGCTAAGTCCTTGCTCCAGGACAAGGACATGGGCTTCAGAGAGACGCCAGCAAGTGCTAAAAAAGATGTGTTGAACATCAGCCTTGAGTCTGGAGTCGTAAGCTCCTACACAGCTTTCATTGCCATGAACAAAGAGCTCAACATACCAGTTCAGGGTCCCCTGGCTCGTAGGGACATTCCAAGGCCAGTTCTGTTGGGAGCTACTGCTATGATGCCAAAATACTGTGGAGGTGGTGAGTTTTATCTCATTCAAATTCATATAGAATAAGGGGTCATGAACATCTGAGCACATTACTGAAAGGAAAAGGTTGTGAAAGGCTCTTAAGTTGCCTTGTTTTCCTTCTTCCTCCACATCTAGGATTTCTGGCTTGTGTAACAATTTTCTCTTCCCTCAGACAGGAATTAGAATATATCTCATTGCAAAGAAGATTTAAAATAGTCCAAGGGAAATAAAATCCAAGGAAGCATTAAAACATAGAAAGTGTACATAAATATTGAGTAATCAAACTGTCTAAATCCAAAACTGATTTATCTTCTTCATTTGTAGATGGTTAATGATCCCACAGATGGCTGATGAAAAATCCAGTAGTATTAAGGAATGGGTGCCAGTTGCCAGGAGCATCTCAGGCATAAACCAAACTGGCCTGATTACAGAGATTAGGGGCTTGAGGATTTGGGTCAGATGAAGAAATTCCCTGTACAGGATTCCACAGTTGGAGGAGAATGTATAATATTAGTTCTGGAGGCAGGCTTAAAGGAGAGTTCTATATCGTTCATACAACATTATTTTCTTTAAACATTTAACTATTTTAACATGAGTTATATATGTTATCATACTTATCATTAGAGATGCAGTGGTAAAAAAACAAAATGCAATTTATGTCCCTAAGAAATTTACAGGGGGATGGGGGAAGAAGATGAAGGGAGAGCCGCAAACAGGTGAGCACATTCTCAAGAAGGTGTACAGAGTCCTGCAACATGGGTAGGCCCAAGGTGTGTGAGAGCAGGTATGGGAGGTGCCAAGCCCAGTAGGGGTGAAGAGGAAATCCAAGAAACATTTCCCAGATAAGTGACATGTAAACTGAGACTAAAGAGTTAGATAAATTATTCTGGCAAAGAGTGGGGAACAAAATCATTCTATGTATCCAGGATCAGCATCTGAAAAGATTCAAATATAAGTAAGGAATGATACAAGTGATATAGGTGTTTTACTTTGGCTGGAACATACATGATAAAGCTGAGAATGAGGAAAGATAAAGATAGGGACACAGAGACCACATTATGGGAATGAGGAAGTCAAAGGATGTTGAGTTACGCTGTAGGAGTGATTATCCATGTGACATTGAACTCACTCAGGATAACACAATTTTGGAAGAAGCCTCGTGGGCCAGGTCTCAAATTATTAGGTAAGTGATGAGAAAAGACAAAGAGACTGCAGGATGATGATGATGATGATGATGATAGCTAACATTTGCATGGGCTTGCTATATATACTGTGTGTTTTTCTAACTACTTTTCATATGTTAAGTTAATTAAACCTCATAATAGTCCTATAAGTTAGATACTGTTATTAACTCTATTTTTTACAGTTAACTCTTTTAAAGAGTTTGAACCATATTTTGAGGGATATTGAATGAATTACAGCAGGGATTGATGTTATTAACACTGTGTTTTACAGCTATCACTCCTATACCACTGTGAAGAGTGATTTGAGAAGAAGTAAGATTTCTAGAGAGACTAGATAGCAATCTATTGTGTTTAATCAGGAGAAAGAAAAAGTGGATTAAACTGAGGTGCTACAGTGAGTGTAAAAAAGGAGAGAGCATGTACTGCAGATTATAAGAAGGTCAGTTCAGTGACTGAATGCAGACATGGTAAATCATTAAGGACGACGCCCAGATTTCTGGTTGGGCAACCTGGTGGATGATGGTATCATTTATTTCAATACAGGGAAAAGAACAGGAACAAGTTTGGGGGATAAAATGCTGAATTATTTTTTAGGACATTTTAAATTTGACATGCATATGGAATATCTACAGATATCCACTGGAAAGGGATATGGATGTATTTGATGCTCAGGGTCTGAGATATAAGTTTGGGAGTCATCAGCCTATCCATTAAAGCAAAGGGAATGATTGAAGATACTACAAGAAAAAGTAAAGAGAGAAAACAGAAGAGGTCCAAGGAATGAGACCTGGGACAATCCAACATTCACATCAGCCTATCCATTAAAGCAAAGGGAATGATTGAAGATACTACAAGAAAAAGTAAAGAGAAAACAGAAGAGGTCCAAGGAATGAGACCTGGGACAATCCAACATTCAATTAGATCAGGAAGAGGAGAAGAATTCAGGGAAAAAGGCTGAGAAGTCTCCAGGAGAGGTGCCATCTGGAAGTCAAGAGAAGATAGCATTTGAAGAGGGAGGGAGTGACACCTTAGCCAGCTGCTGCTGTGAGACCAGGAAAGACAAGGACAGGGAGTAGAGCAATGGCAACTTGGAAGGTCACTGCTGGTCTTGACAAGAGTAGCATCCGTAGAGTGGTGGGAACTGGGGCCTAACTGGGTGGCTTCAAGGGAGAAGGGAAAGCTCCTGCCGAGAAGGCTAATTAGCATGAGTCACTTAGGAATCTTTGTCTTTTTATGAGCCCTTTCATATTTATTGGTACAACTGATATATTGGGTCTCCACTCTCACATTATTCTATAATTCTCGTGTGTATTTTGCCTGCTGTGTTTCTTTCTCCATGCAATGTGTTCCTTTACTTTTTAAAAAATCGTATTTAGGAAGGTTTGTATTTTATTCTAGTGTTAATTTTGTATGTATAGCTTTTTAATGTTCATACTCCTGTTTTCTTGTTTAAGTTTTTGCTGTCTGGTTTGTAAATAGTATCTTTATCTCCCACCTATTGCCCTTAGTACAAAGAGCTTATTCCGTTTTTTTCTTTCCCTTTCCCTTCTCCTCCCATTTTTAGTTGCATTATTTCCTAGTCATCTCTCCTAGGATGAAATTCATCCTCTGTCACAGGGATCACAAAACGTTTTTCTGTAAAGGGCCAGATGGTAAATACTTTCAGCTTTGCAGGTATACCATCTCTGTCAGAATTCTACCATTGTAGAGCATACGCAGCCAAAGACAATATGTAAATGAATGAGTATGGCTGTGTTCCAATAAAACTTTATTACAAAAACAGTGGTGGACCAGATGTGGCCCGCAGCCTAAAGTTTGCAAAACCTTGTCTTAGAGTTGCAGCAAACAGGAGATGGAAAGGACAGCGCAGGAGGAGAGAGAAAACTGGCATGGGAGTTAAGGGGAAATTGACAAAAGAGGAACCCTTTAAGTCTCCCAGGGACAGAAAGAAAGGAAATTCTTTGACAATACTCAACAGTTTACCTCCCTGGGAGAAGACGCTAGAAAGGTGTCTGTGCCATCTCAGGTTGGCCCAGCATCATCCTGCTGGATTCCACAGATCCTGCTGGCCAGATGCCAAAGTGTGGGCAGCTGAATGTGATTTGTTCATCCTGAAAACAGCAGGTGTAGAAAGCGCTCTCAGTACCATGGCAACCACATCATGTTTTCCTCTAACAGGAGGATTATATCAGTGAGTGCATTCCTCTGGGCATTGATCCATTAGTGTGCACTGAGCTCCTTTCAGGGCCAGGCCCTGTGCTGAGTGCTTGGAATACAAAGACACAGTAGCCCCAGTCCCTGTTTCTAAGGAGCGCACGGGCTGGAGGAGGAGAGAGACGTGCACAGCAAACAGCATAAGTGATCAAATGAAGGAACACAGGAAGGCTGGGAGTGAGGAACTGGCCTCTGGGCCTCTCTGAAGAGCTGAGCTTGAGCTGAATTTTGGGGAATCAGTCAGAGTTGGTCAAGAGGATAAACTGGGGTGAGTCAGAGAAAACAGAGAATCTTGAGCACTGTAGCACCTTCAGGGAACAGCAAATATGTCCACAGCCATAGTTGGGTCCCAAGGGTGCAGGAGATGGGCATGGGGAGGCACACGGGAGCCAAGGCCTGCCAAGCCTCTGCAGACACTGCTCTCCTGGGGCCACCACAAGCTAGTGCCCAATCCAGTGGCATTTTCCAGCCCGCTTTTACCCCCTCCCTTCTTTTAAAAAGTCCTCTCTTGATATCATGATGACTCTGATATGATACCACCATCTCCTGGTGCTCCTTCTGCATTTCTGGCTGCTCTTTCTCACTCATCTTATTTACTCTATCACTTCCTTAAATTCTGACCTTCTCATGCTACACTCTCTCTAGGTGCATTAGAAACCTCTCCACAACCCATTCCCTTCTCTATTGCTCTTTGCATATTGGTCTCAATTTCCCCTACCACAAAATAAGTCCCCTGCACATATCTGGGAATGTGCCTCAAGAACCCCAGTGCAGCAATCCTATGGAAAGACATTTTCCCCACATCCATCTATCAATCCAGGGAAGAACTTGGATTGCCATTGATCACGTGCCCACCCTGGGACCCATCAGTACCAGAAGATGGAGCAATATGATTTATGATGAGGGAAATAAGGCTCCATCACTGGCCCCATCAAAGTCCCAAGGAGCAGAAAGGTAGTTCCCAAAAGCAGGTGTCTCGGTAAAGAGACAGGAACTACACAATGTCAACAGGGAATTATTAACTGTGATAATAGAGGGTTAACCACAAAGGGGTAAATAGAGCTCTAAAGAATACAAGAACAGATGAATGGATAAACAAAATATGGCACATACATGTAATGGAATATTATTCTGCAACAAAAAGTAATGAAGTTTTGATACATGCTACCACATGGATGAACCTTGAAAACATTATGGTAAGTGAAATAAGCCAGACACAAAAGGCTACATATTGTACAATGCCACTTATGTGAAGTACCTAGAAGAGTCAAATTCACAGAGACAGAGAGTAGAATAGATGTTACCAGAGTCTGGGGGAGTTGTTAAATGGATATGGAGTTTCAGTTTGGGATGACAGAAAAGGTTCTGGAAATAGATAGTGGTGATGTTTACCTAACATTGTTGAATGTTCTTAATACCACTGAATTATGCACTTAAAATGGCTATAATGATAAATTTTATGCTGTGTATATTTTATCACAATAAAAAGAAAATACAGAAATGTGGATATAGATTGCAGGCACTAGGTCTAGTGCTGAAGTGGGTACCCAAGGGAGAAACCAACTTGGGAAAGGCCCTCCCCACAGTTGAGATTCAGACCCTGTTGGAGATGGTGTGCTGGAGCCCACAAGGTGGCAGAGAAGTCTGCTGTGGTCCCACGGGCCAGGGCTGACATTCAGGAAACCCGCCCACTGGGGTGCCAGCAACACTGCCCATGAACCTGCCCTCTGAAGTGCCAGTAGGACTCCTAGGAACTCACACGTGGTGTGCTGCCAAAACTCACTAGGCAGCCATCAGAGCTTCAGCAGAAGTTGTGAGAATCTACCTGTGGGAATACTGCTAAATTTGTTGGAGAGCTGGCTGAGATGCCATCAGAACTCACTGGAAACCCATAAGAGTGCCACTGAAACTCACTGGGGGATGAGCATCCCTGGGTGTCTCACACGCCAGTCAAGTGCTCCAGGAGCAGGAGGAGAGGAAAGCACAGCAGACCAAGCAGGGAAGCTTCTTCCTGCAGTGTCCCTCCAGTGCCCTCACTGACAGCACTTTATATTGTCCCAGCTGACAGATGTTTACAGGGGCCTGCTCCAGTGTCACAAGTAGGGCAAGGAAGAGTGGATTTGGAATTCAGAGGCAATAAGTTGATAACTGTCACAGTCTACCGCTTTGGCTACTCAGCTTCCACATGAATCCTCCTACACATCTGAACTTCTGTACAACAGCAGCAAAACTGTCTCCCCCTAGCAAGATACAACTATGCTGTTTACGGTGTTCTTACCCTTTCCCCCAAATAAGAACAACAATCACTGTATCTGTCTCTGGCTATTTTTTTTTTTTTTTTTTTTTTTTTTTTTTTTGTCTTTTTGCGTGTCCGGCAACAGATCGCACCCCTCGGTGCTGCGCCCGCACCTCGCTCAGCCAGTGAGCGGGAACCGGTCTGTATGTGGGATCCGAACCCTCGGCGGGAGCGCCGCCACACTCCCAAGCGGCGCACTGTAGCAGTGCGCCACCGGGCCGGCCCCTGTCTCTGGCTATTTTTTTTTTTTTTTGTCTTTTTGCGTGTCCGGCAACAGATCGCACCCCTCGGTGCTGCGCCCGCACCTCGCTCAGCCAGTGAGCGGGAACCGGTCTGTATGTGGGATCCGAACCCTCGGCGGGAGCGCCGCCACACTCCCAAGCGGCGCACTGTAGCAGTGCGCCACCGGGCCGGCCCCTGTCTCTGGCTATTTTAATTACTCCTCAATTTCAATCACAGTCCCACTAAATATTCTGTTACCGAGAGACTAAATTGTAAAGTTAACCTCCAACAACTTGTATAAACTAATAAAGGGAAGAAGGAGAGAGAGAGAAGACATTTGGCACTTTTCCATAATCTATTTCTCAGTGGGAATGAACCTTAGGGAAGAACTCATGGGGAAGTATTGGGGGAAGAACTCTGATGGGCGTGCTTGGGTCATGTGTGTTGGAATCTGTGAAAGGTCTGGGGTTTTGCCATCTTACAAGTTAGTAAATTAGCCTGTTACGGTCTCATTGATATTGGCAGTTGAGACATGAGGTTGGGTTGGAGACAAAGGACTTCATTATTCCTGGCAGAGCAGGCTGCATGAGGTTCGTGTTGGTTTGCTTTGGTTCCCCATGCCCTCAGGTTCCCAGAAGGGTGATGTAGAGGGGCTCAGGTGTGTGCTGTGCATGCAGAGTGTCTGTGTTGCCTAGAAGGAACAATGAGCTTGACAATACACAATTTAATAAGAAGCCTGAATCCACAAGCCTCTCTCAGTCTGAGGCGGGGTGATATTGCCATGTCAAGACTGTTAGTGCAAACAGAACCCCGAGCAATGGCCCAGTCAAGGAGCAGTCAGGGCCCCGCAGTCTCATCACGCCCAGCTAGAGCATGCAGATACAGTCAGGACCCGTGGTAGATTGCCTTTCACAAAAATCCACCATGAGGCCTGACAGATTCTTGGCCAAGTTCAAATTTTCCCATTGAGTATGCCATTCCATCAGCCACTCTGATTAATCTGACCAACAGAGGCTGGGACAAAATCCATTCGGCTTGCTTCCTACAGCACTTAAAATTAAGACTACTATCAACAGAACTTCAAGCAGCACAGTGAGGCCAATCTGTAGTACTGGTCTCATGCATGTGCCTCAGAGTCCCAGGCCCAGCCAAGTGTGAATAAGTCCCAGGGGAAACCAGCAGCTCTCATTCCAGACAGCCCAGATAAAATCTACTGCCAGTCTCGTATCCAGTATGATCCACTCAAGGTAGGGTACTGACTGATATTTGGTATTATTGCCAGTAATCACAGGAGGCAATCAGGGAACCAGAAACCTCCATCCCCAATGAAAAAACAGTCTATCGTCCATTCTCCGTCACATACAAAGACACGATTCACAATTCAAAGGGACATAGGTCTCTCTGGTTTGGGATTTGTTGTTAAATTTGATTTGGATCACCATTACATTGGTTTGGTTAAGTATAACAGTTAATTTTATGTGTCAATTTGTGACACATACCCAGGTGTGTGGTCAAATATTATTTGGGGTGGTTCTGTGAGGGTGTTTTTAGATAAGATTTTCATTTAAATTGGTGGACTTTGAGTAAAGCAGATTGCCCTCCATAATGTAGGTGGGCTTCATCCAATCAACTGAAGGCCTGAGTAGAACAGAAGACTGACCCCCCCTGAGCAAGAGGGAATTCTGCAACAGACGGCCTTCAGACCTGAACTGCAGCTCTCCTGGGTCTCCAGCCTGTCGGCCCATCCTGCAGATTCGGGACATGCCACGCTCCCTAATTATGTGAGCCATCTCCTTGTAATAAATCTCTTTTACATACATCTTATGAGTTATTTCTATGGAGAATGCTGACTAGTACACTAAGTTATGTGGACAGTGTCACTGAGTCATCGCAGCCTTGATTGCCATATACAGCACAACCAGACCACTTGGGCATCAGGAAAAGCACATGAATTTGTATCAGTCAGTTTAAAACAAAGTTGTTCTGATCCAGGTGTTTGAACAGTTTGTGGGGTGGGGATGTGAGGCATGTTTGCGAGCTATTGATGGCATCAAGCACAGGAGAAGAGTTCAGAACCAGCCATATCCATGTGAATTTTCCTCTCTTCATAGCTCATGGACAAGGATGCCGAACCCCTCAGAAGGTCAGATTGTAGCAATAGCTGCTGCATGATTCAGGCAGACCATGTGACCGTGCCAGGCCTGGTGGACAAGGGGAGCACCCTACCCCACACACTGCACTTCCCAGGGTCTAAGGTGGCCCTCCCCAAATGCTGGGACGGTCACTCTCCCTCCACTGCCACAAAACTGGCATGTCCCATTCCAGTACCTATAACTTCATCTCCTCTTCAGTCATCCCACAATATGCCCAGACCTTTTTTCCAGAAGGGTCAAGTGTGAGAGTACCAAGGGCACTTGCACAAAGTTTACAGGGACCCGTGGCAGTGGCCACCTGGGCCACAGCAGGAGGACTCAGCACGCAGTGCATTCAGCCAAGTGGTCATTGTATGTATGATCTAGAACGCCTCAATCCAACAGGGAAATCCAGGTGGCCAAATCAGAATTAAGTTTGGATCCCCTAGGTCCATTTGTGGCTGGGCTGCCACTCAAAGGGTGTACCTACTAGCCTGGCCTGGTATCACCTTTAGGGGAAAGAAAGAAGCATCACACCCTGTAACGGCAGGGTAGAATTCCACATTTTCAAAATAGGTTTATATTGCTCCCAACTCCTGATCAGTAGCATCCATCATTATTCAGGAAGTGACCCAACAGGAGATTGTCCCTTTCTGGAGATGGCCACATTTGGTGACTGTATCAGTCTGCTCAGGCTGCTATAACGAAGTACCGGACTAGGCGGCTTAGAGAACAGACATTTATTTTCTCACAGTTCTGGAGGCTAGAAGTCCATTATCAAAGTGCAGGCAAACATGGTTTCTGGTGAGGGCTCTTACTGGCCTGTAGATGACCGTCTTCTCACCATGCCCTCACATCGCCCTTCCTCTGTGCTAGCACTCTGAGAGAGAGAGCCTTCTGTAAGAAGGGTGTCTCTTCCTCTTTGATGGAGTTCAGATGTGTTGTCCCCTCCACAACTCATGTGGAAATTTGATCTCCAGTGTGGCAGTGCTGGAAACTGATTGAGTCATGGGGGTGGATCCCTCATGAATGGATTAATGCTCTCCCTGGGGGAGGAGGGGATTAATGAGTGAGTTCTTGCTCTATTAGTTCCCACAAGACCTGATTGTTTAAAGGACACTGGCACCTCCTCTCTTGCTCTCTCGCTCTCTCTCGCTTCCTCTCTCTTGCTTCCTCTCGCCATGTGATCTGCTTGTACCTGCCGGCTGCCTGCCACTTTCCGCCATGAGTAGAAGCAGCCTGAGGCCCATGCCAGACGCAGCTGTCCCAGAATCGTAAGCCAAATAAACCTCTTTCCTTTATAAATTACCCAGTCTCAGGTATTTCTGTCATAGCAACACAAAACAGACTAATATACTCTTCTTATAAGGACACCAGTCCTATCAGAGCAGGACCCCACCCTCACGACCTCACTTCACCTTTCTTACCTTCCTAAAGGCTTTATCTCCAAACATGGTCCCATTGGGGATTAGAGCTTCAACATGCGAATTTTGGAAGGACACAATTCAGTCCATAACAGTGACCAAGGTGTGTGGACCAGGAGGAGGGGATGGGGGTAAAATTAGAAATCTTTATAAGTGACTTTCTTAGGAGGCTGTTCCAATGGTGAATAACACCAGATGCCTGTAGGTAGGAGGGAAAGCACAAGGTCCATCACATACCTTGACCATGGGCCCTTTGTTGAGTGGCCTCTGCACCAAAAGTTACATCATCGACTGTAGATGGTCTGCAAAGCAGACAATAAGATCTGGTTTTCTCTCATGGAACATACGGGTATGGCCAGAGTCCATTATAGAGCAACTGGATTACCAGTGCCCAGGACAGTGCCTGGCACATCAGGGGTGCTTAATAAATTAATAAACACAGGGCTTCTTTGCCTACCCTATACATGTAATTTTTTTTCTAATTCTTTTCCACTGTTTTGTTTCCATTTTGCTATGCTGGGTTTTCATCATCCCTGCCCTCTGTGTCCTTGCAGTGTCTTCAGCAGGGTCGCTTCTCCCTGGGGCTAATTTCCACTTTGCCTTTCTTCTCTGTTCTTTCTGCACTTTTTTCCTGAGCTCACTGTATGCTTTCTTAAAAGCAATCATTTCATCACGTTTGTTAGGTGCCTGGCAGGAGCTTGGCTACACTTCCGTCTGCCCTACGGCTGTGTTTCCTGGTGCATGTTCTGCATCTGCCACTTGCTGTTCCTACCTCTCCTGTGTTTGCAGAGATCCTTCACAGCTTCCTTTTTGACGACTCACCTCTGAAAGAGTGGAGTTTTTCCTGGACCAGCTCTTTGCTGGAGCGTTGTGAGTCACAGCAATGTTCCCATTACCTGAAATTTTCCTTATGACCCAGGGTTTTAGATGTGAGCTTGATCAGCCTCCTTTACTTCTCACCTTAAGCACGTCTGGGCATGTTTGGCAACCCAGAAATACTGGCCTCTGTGGTGGAGTTTTGCATAATTTGGTTTTAATTAATTTATTTGTTTGTTACCTGAATGATGAGGGAGAGAGTTTAGTCCCAGTGCCTGGGGCGTGCAGGCAGAGTGTGCGCTTCTGCCTCACAAGGACCGTGTCTGAGCAGTCTGGAGAGAGGAGCCGCAGGCAGCAGTAGGCAGAGCTCCACTGTGGGGGCCAAGGGCCCAGGTGAGAGATGCAGCATGGCGGAGAGGACAGGACCTTCTCCATACTCCTGCCAGGGATCGGGGGCTCAGGAGCAGGGGCTGAAGGGAACTACGCCCTGCTTTGGCACCTGTCGATGAATCTTACGTTATGGAGACAGAAACCAACCCTGACCAGCATGTGCAAGCCCCAACTTTCCTTTCTCCTTCCACCCTCCACGTGTTCCTGATGCAACCAGCCATCACAGAGCCACTCCTGCCACCCCTTGCCACCCACCTCCCCGCATTTAAGACCCAGTGAGGAGTCTAAATGGTTGAACATCATAATAGATCTGCAGCATAACCAGCACCACTTTAGACAAGCCCAAGTACAAAATGGCACCGTCCACCTCCTCACCTCCCCTCCCCCGTTCTCTTTTACAAGAAGCCTCATGGTTTCGAGAAAATGAAACTTTTGGTGTTTTGCATGCGCAGAACTCTCCATCCCCGTGACCTAACTCAATCCCCACCCTGGAATTGCATCACCCAGCTCTTGGCACCAACATACCAATATAAGTTCCCACTGCCCTATGTTAGCTGCTGTCCCCCATTTTCAGGGTAGCCCCGGGCTGTTCCCCACTTTGAGCACAGCCTGGCAGATTTCTTTCTTTAATAAAGCTTGAATGGTACCCAGCATCTCGGCTCACTTTCTTTCACATCATAAGCAAAGAAGAATCTAGTGTGTGTATATCTTGGGGTCAAAGGAAGAACTGAATGCCTAAGTTCTGTATAGAAGGGGCCACTTTTGAGATTTCCATGTCTCTCAGGGGTTTTACTTCAGGGTGGCCCAGATGTACTCAACTTTGGACTCCTGTTCAGATCCAAATTCCCTGGAGAAAGAAAGTATGAAGTTTATTAATAATATAAAGAAACAACTAAAATATTTCAGCCACTAAGGGCTAATGTCGCCTATTTTGGTTTTGCTTTTGTAGGAGAAATACTGAGACAGTGTCATGCCATGCCTGTCCTCCATAGAGAATGCCTGAACGGTTCCACTGACGCAAAGTTCAGATCAGAGGAACCAAATGATAGCAACAGCCAAGTATAATCATCAGTAACCCTACACAAAAGCAATCACCCTCCTCACCATGGGTTTTCATTTAAAACATGATATATCACTAGAAATATCTATTTCCTTTTATAATCTCTTTATATAATCTGGGTTATCCTGGACCTTGGGTTTTCTTTTAGCTACTGAAAAGATCTGTTCTCAATTCAATGATCCCATCCCTATCCTCTCCTGGCAGGAGTTCCGGGAGCTCAGATGAATTGCATTCTGGAAACCTGCCTAAAACTCAACAGTCTAAGAGGAATTCTACTGGAGAAAATCTGGAGAGGATTCAATTAATTTGGTAAAAGGATTAGAAATTGGACCGAAGTGAGAAAAGAGAATTCTTTAAGGGGGGAAAAGAAAAAAGATTAGTTACACTGAGAAACTAAAATCTAAAGCAATTACCATTGATATTTTGTCCAGGAAATGAGTATTAACTACCTCCTGTGTGTCCAATGTTGTGTTTAATGTTAAAGATTCCAGAATGGATAAGACAAAGGCCCAGCCCTCAGGAGCTCACTGAGCAATGAAGAAAGTATTTGAATGTTTCATGGGCATCACAAGACCTGGGGCTAACAATCTATTATATTTCAATTGCCTTTTTTATTATTATAGAAACAATACTTGCTTCTGAGCCACCGCTGGAAGCCCCCTTGTCTCCCCTGCAGGAACGAGGGTGGGTGCCACAGGCCTCAACCATGTCCCCCCCCCTTTTCCTTTCCTTCTCCTCCCCCCCCCCCACTGCTCTGCAACATCTTAGAATGTAAAATATATATATATATATATATATAAATAAATAAATAAACTTAAAAAAATTTTTTTTAAATACTTGCTTATTGAAGAGGATTTGGAAAACAAGTAAGAAACTAAAAATCATCTCTGATTCTGTCAACAAAAACAACCAGTTACTTTGATCTTTTTTGTAGATCTATGTGGTTATAATAGTAAGTACTAACATTGATAAAAGTATTTCATGAGCCAGGGACTAT